CTGACACCCCCCCCCTGCCTCCCGCTGTCCCAGGGACACCGAGCGACCCCGAGACGGACCCCCCGACAGCGGGCGACCCCGAGATCGTAGAGCTGGATACGGCCACCTTGTTGGGTCACCCCGAGGAGGGTTCACCGGGCGAACGGAGCCCGGCGCGGGAGACCCTGCGTTGGACCGTGGTCCAGCAGATCGACTCCCCCGGCGCGGCTGGTGCGGGGTGGAGCCGGATCGGGAGCTGGCGCCTTCTCCAACTTCAAGAGCATCATCGTGCTGCAGAAGAGTTACGAGTGCGGGGAATGCGGCAAGAGCTTCAGCTGCAGCTCCCACTTCAGCAAACACCGGCGGACCCACACCGGTGAGAAACCCTTCCTCTGCCTCCATTGCGGTAAGAGCTTCAACGTCAGCTCCAACCTCTACCGGCATCAACGGGCTCACGCCGCCGAACGTCCCGGTCCACCGGCTCCACCGGCACGTCCCCGTGGGTTGCCGTATAAATGCGAGGAGTGCGGCAAGAGTTTTCGCCGTAACAAGGAGCTGGTGACCCACCAACGGTTGCACACCGGTCGCTTGCCCTTCCAATGCGGTCACTGCGGTAAGAGCTTCAGTTGGAGCTCCCATTTTGACCGGCACCAACGCGTCCATACCGGTGAGAAGCCCTATCAGTGCCCCGAATGCGGTAAGCGTTTTAGCCGTAGCTCCCACCTCTACCGGCACCAACGCACCCACGCTGGTGGTCGCTCTTACATCTGCACCTATTGCGGGCGTAGTTTTGGTAGCACCCTCCATTTTGACCGGCACCAACGCACCCACACCGGCCAACGACCCTACAAGTGCACCCTGTGCCGGAAAAGTTTTGGCGATGGGCCGGCGTTGGTCAAACATCAACGCCTTCATCTGGGTGATGGTCCTTTCCGTTGCGAAGAGTGCGGTAAAGCCTTCGGTGCCCGCGCCCAATACGCCCGGCATCGGCGTAGCCTCCACGGTGGCGGTGAGAAACCGTACCGTTGCGGTGATTGCGGGAAGAGTTTTTCCTGGAGCTCCCATTGGGAACGACACCAACGTATCCACACCGGCGAACGACCCTACCAATGCGGGGACTGCGGCAAACGTTTCGGCCGGACCTCCCATCTCTACCGGCATCAACGTACCCACGCCGGCGGGCAACCCCACATCTGTGCCGATTGCGGGAAGAGCTTCAACAGCACCCTACACTTCCACAAGCACCAACGGGCTCACGCCGGTCCCCGGCACGCCTGTCCCGATTGCGGCAAGGCGTTTGCCGACAGTTCGGCGTTGGCTAAGCACCGACGGGCGCACGCCGGCGAGAAGCCTTTCCCTTGCCCACAGTGCGGCCGGCGTTTCGGCGTCAGCTCCCATCTTCACCGTCACCTCCGTAGCCACGGTGAGGAGGAGCCGCCGGAGGAGCCGCCGGATGAGCTCACGCCCCGTTAACCGGGGGACGGGGAGAGGGGGGGACATAGGGTTGACCCCCCTGGGTGGCTCCCGTCCCCCCCACCACTGCTGTGGGGTGCCTC